AGTGCATTGTCTAAGGTAGACCCATACTGTAGCTTTTACCTCTTTTTTTCCCCTTCCAAAAGCCACAAGCTTCACCTGCTCATTTTATCCCCCCCCCCCATCAGAAAGAGCGCTTTTATCAGCAAAAGGGACGCTTAGCTGAACCATCCTCCCAGGAACTGGCCAGCTTCATCAGCATGTGTTTGACCTACGAGCCTGTGCAGAGGCCTTCGTTCCGCACTGTGCTCAGAAATCTCACAGAACTCATGATCAAAGGTGGGGTGTTCTTACCACATCACACTACTTTTTGTGTGTCTTTCATCCTGTCTTAGTGCATGTAATGAACAAGTGTTTTTTTTTTTTTTTTTTTTTTGCTGCTAACAGATCCTGATATATCTCCCAGTGAAACTCTTCCTGACATGGACCCTAGCGTGTTTCATAAACGCTATCTGAAAGAGATTCGGGAGTTAGGAGAGGTGGGTCCTAGCACCATAACACCAGTAGTTTCCTCTTTTATGCTTCCGCACCAGAGTTTTTTGTGTTGTCCGTCCATCTGTCCCATTTTTGTGAACGCGATAGCTCAGTAACACCGTGAGAGAATGTCTTTGAATTTGGCACAAACGTTCACTGGGAATCAAGGATGAACTGATTAGATTCTGGTTGTCAAAGGTCAAAGTCACTGGGACCACACAAAACACGTTTTTAGCCACAACTCAATAATTCACACAAATGGTTAATATTTTATATGATTCTGGATATACGGGGATGTAACCTAACCGGTAATTCTAGTTTGTGTGTGTTAGAGAATAACCCACATCTTTTTGTTCTGTCCCCAGGGTCACTTTGGAAAGGTGACTCTCTACCTGTATGACCCAGCCAACGATGGGACGGGAGAGCGTGTGGCAGTGAAGGCTTTGAAACAGGAGAATGGTTATTCGCCCGATGGCTGGATGAAGGAGATTGAGATCCTGAAATCCCTTGATCACAGCAACATTGTCAAGTACAAGGGCTGTTGTACGGAACTGGGTGAGTGCTCAGCCTGTCTTCTGTCTGCTTCAGATATCTTAATAATTGAAATACATGTCAACACATAGTGTCTGCATGTGCAAAGGAGTGCTTGCTCAGTAGCTCTCTTTTAACTTGCCCTGCTCAGTGGATGATTCAGGGAATTGATTTTTGGTTCCTTCTGTTCCTCTGTAAATATTGAAAATCTTGTCAAAGTGCACCACTTTTTCCAATATATGTCAATAAAATGAGCTTTCAACACACAGCATGCTGAGCACCACAGCGCCTTCAGAACCTGGATAGTCAGCAGGTCATTCTTGCCTTTGAAAAATAATAGGAAATAGGAGGATAAAAGCACTGTTGCATTGTCCATTCACAGGAGGACAAGTGGTGCAGCTAATAATGGAGTACCTTCCTCTGGGGAGTCTGCGAGACTACCTTCCCAAACGTAATCTGGGTGTTCCCCAGTGCCTGATGTTTGCTCAGCAGATCTGTCAGGTAAGTTTATGCATTTCCTCTGAATCTTATAATGCTGTGTGCATTATAAGAACCTTGTAATCTGTGTGCAAACTGCACAGACGTCACAGATGTCAGGTTGTGTTCTGCTTCCTTCAGAAGAAGTTGTGTTTTTCCATTCATTTTTGTACAAGAATTTTCCATACACTGCCTACAATTACCCAAAGTAGATAATCCATCATATAATTAATTTATAGCACTCTAGGTTTCTCTGTATTGTCATTGATTCATTGTGTTTAAGTTGGGTATCCAGAGAAATGTCCACCACTCAGAATGCTGTCTGTTGCATGTTTGAGACATGAGCATCTTTTTTAGCCTGTCTTTTCTTTCTGTTTTACAGGGGATGGATTACTTGCACTCGAAGCGATACATCCATCGAGACCTAGCTGCCCGTAATGTCTTAGTGGAAAATGACCGCTTGGTGAAGATTGGAGACTTTGGCCTGACAAAATACATCCCTGAAGGCGAAATCTACTATCGTGTCCGCGAGGATGGGGACAGTCCAGTGTTCTGGTGGGTTCATGCAGCACTTAAATGTGTTTTTCAGTGATTGGTTCTATGACCTCAGCCACTGAGCTGTATTTCTGCACTATGTAGGTATGCCATTGAGTGCCTGAAGGAGAGCAAATTTTCCTTTTCCTCTGACATTTGGTCCTTCGGCGTTACATTGTATGAGATCCTTACCCACTGCGACCACCGCCAAAGCCCGCCAACAGTACGTCATCTCTTCAAACAATTTTAAACCTGCGTCTATTTTACATGTGACTAATCAAGTCATTTCAGAATCCCTGTATTAAATGCACAGTGCACACTTCTGTGTTTTTTGTAGAAGTTCTCTGAGATGATGGAAGCAACCCAAGGACAGATGACTGTGATGGTACTCATAAAACTGTTGGAGAAACAGCTGCGATTGCCTTGTCCGAAAGAATGCCCACATGAGGTAACATTATGTGCTCATTAAACAAAATTGACAATTTGTTGGCATGATGAGTAACCTGATATTTTCATAATTATTACATCATTTTTTACCAACAGGTGAAAATGTTGATGGAACAGTGTTGGGCTGCAGAGCCCGCACAACGGCCATCATTCAAATCCATCATTGAAAAGTTGGAGGCAATTCGCCGAACATATGACTGGCACCAAGGTATAAACTTTTCCCTGGCTCAGATTTGCTGACCAGTTCATCAAAGATCTACGTGTCTCCATCTCATCACTTTTCCACTGAGGCAACCATATATTACAGGGTAGCCAGTAATGTGTTTCCTGCTGTGCAATGCCTGCTGCCTCCATTTACATATTATGTATTTATAGCCTTCTTTTTGATAACGGCACACTGCATCCTCTCATATGTGATATTGCCATAATATTAAACTCAATCGGTGTGTCTTTATTTCCTGGCTAATAAGTTGAACTTCATGGGGGAAGTTAATGGCTTGGGCAGTCAGCTACCCAGTGTCAGCTTTTATCTTTAAAAAAATATGGGTTTGCATATATCACAGTAAGTATTAAGAGTTTCTGTAAGGTGGGGATATTACTAGCTTTCATATGTTTCTGTACATTTTTTGAGTGAATGTTCACTTTGCATTTAATTTTGTATAAACCAAAAGAACAAATTCAAAAATCTAATAAAACATTTTTTCACATGTCCTTTTCTTTCAAAACTGATGCATGTGTCAAAAAGTGTGAAAAAATGTGTTACGTAATGTGCCATTCTTTTGTGCATTACAGGATGTCCTATATGCACCAAAGCACAGCTATATTTATCACTAGCTTAGGGATATACTGCAATAAAAGCAACTTCTACAGTAACAGTTTTAACAAACGGGTCATTCAGGGAATGCTATCTCCTAATAACTTATGTTGCCTTGACCATTTAGGTGCCTGTGCACATGGCACTACTGTAGGTAGGACAGAAAGTGTGTCACACATGAAAATGAAAACATGCTGTACCACTGACTGCAGCACACCACTTCAGTTGCTGGAAACAATGCACCTACAATTCTTGCTGCAGAGGGACAAATAAAAATAACAACACTGCTGCTCTGGTAGGTGTTTGAACAACAGGTGTTTGAATCGGTGTTCTGCATACACCTTGAGAAAGAACCAGTAAAATCTGAAAAATGGACAGAGCCTCAACCGCAACACTGCTCCCGACATTTATTCCACATATTCCACTGGAAAAAAGCTGTCCACAATCTTGTGCAATGCAAATTAACAACCACTGAAGGGTCTTTGTTAAGATACAGGCTTTCCAACCACATAGCTGAGCGGCTGCAAGATATCTCTCTGTGTTTGAAAGAAAATACTGCAAGGGCCAAAGACTAATACAATGTGAGGAATGTACCAGTGGACAATGGTCATTGCCAAGCAATAGTGCAAGGTGGTGCCACCTTCAGTTGAGTCACTGAATGCATACTACGTTACGGTTGTGCATTTTAGAAACATAAAACTGTCTCCTGTCTGGAGGATAAGGATGAGAGCAATATTTGTGGACGTATTTTTCCGGAAGGTGTTTTGCCAGTCACACAGATCCACCTCTGCACTCCCAAACTCACTTCAGATCTGACTCGTAATCTTGGAGTGAAACTTACACTCCACCAGGAGCCGATTTGTGGACATGATATTGGCCCCTGAAGTCCCTGTCTGAACTGTGAACCCTGGAGGAGCATAGATTTTCCGTAGCCAAACGCAAATGTCTCTTTATCCTTCAATAACAGTGCACACTACAGTGTACTATCAACTGACACAAGCTACCACAACATCATCTCTTCTACATCCAAGGCTCTGGATACACAGAATAAATATATAAATAAATACACTGTTTTATTAGGTACACCTAGCTAAAGCTAATACAACAGCCCTGTAATAAATCCTCCTTTATGAGGATTATAATGAAACTAATAATATAATTGAAACACAAAAGTAGCACATATTAAATATTTACATCATATTTGAATAAAGAAACCAATTCTTAAGCTTATAAGTCAAAACAGTTAGCTGCATGTAAACAGGACTAATAAAAGTATGCATATGGCTGGATGAATAATTAATATAGTGATTTTTTATATTCGGAGTTGCAATATAGCATGTATCATATGTTCTTTATAAATGTGTCATATGAGTCATATGTGTTATACAATGAATCATATTACTCTAGTTACTCTGTTAAAGAATGTTTTAAACACCTTTGAAATCCAAATCTTAATATCTGAGGTGATCTCATAATGTTGGGTCGAGATTGAAAGAAAAACCGGGAAGTCTGTCTAATTGAAATGCCTTAGAAGATTAGTTTTATGACACTCTAGGGCCCCACTGAGAAATCTGCAGCATTTATTACAGGGGACACCCGTAGCTCCGCCCCCAGCCTCCGTTACGTCGTAGTCATGGAAATGCGTCCCCCTCTCGTCCAATGAGAAGCGTCGCTGGTGCCATGTGTGTATTGTTTAAACTGCTCAAATCAGACAGAGTTTCCAGACCGACAAAACTTCCACCAAACTGAGTGATGGCGGCCGCCGTGTCTGTTAGCTCAGCTGCCAAGGATGAAAGCACAGACACTGGACTCGGTTTCGCCTCTCGTCCGCTTCATGAACATTACGACCTCGCTGCGGATCACGAAAACTGGATGGCCGGAGACTGCCTGCATCCCGAACTCGAACCCGGCGAAGAGGAATCGACACCGGGTCGCGAATGTCAGCGGAGGGTCGACGAGGACCTGACATCACTGAGCCCCGAAGAGATCGAGAGCCGCTTGGAGAGAACTCGTCGGGAGTTTTACAACCGTAGAAAAATTATCATAAAAAACCTGCCATCCGACGTTAGCAATCAGGTATGAGTAAAAACTACGAGCCAAATGGAGATTTAAAGTGTTGGATGATTGATTGATTGACGGGGTCGTTTGGCTAACGTTAGCCTAGCTTCAATATGCCTGCCATGCTACCTAAGTTAGCCTACTAGCCATTTAACTAGTTAGCTACCTTTAACTTTTGTTATGCGGGGTTTTGCTTTGACTCTACAACAGTTTAAAAAGCCAACCCACCGTCAACTTGCAGCCGCGAAACACCGTTAGGGTCGTGATTAATTTGTTTGGGTTAGGTCAACTAACGGCTTAGGTTAAGTGCCAGGTGGTCAGATAACTGTCAATAATGGTCATCTGTGGCCTGCATGACCTGCCAGTCCGGCCTCGTAGGTAACAACTGGGTAACTAAAATTTCCTTGGTTTAATTTCTCTATTCAAGTTGCCAAGCCAAACTTTTGGTAATTTCACTCTCTTCATGGGTTTTACAGGTGCACTGTAGCTTTTTCATCACCCCATCTGTTGTTATTAAAGCTGGCGTTTGGCTCCATCAACCAGCCACAGATTTTAGTCATGATGCCACATTTTTTTTGGAACGTGCCTGACTCGTGGGGAGCGGTGGGCCTGCGGGCGGTACCATTGTTCACAGGGGGGTGGAGGGTGGGGGTGGTGGGAGTTCGAGATGTGAGTTGCAATATAACAAAAGGTGGAAGGCGTGGAGACAAAACGTTTCAGAAAATGCTAGACAGCATCACCATTCGTTTGTGAATGGGCAAAAACAGCGCAGAACAATTTCTCCCACAACAATGAGTCAGTTATTCACCTCCCTCACCCCGACAGGTGCACTTGTTACTAGTTTCCCAGTGGACATGAATGAGTTAATTATGTGATGACCAAAACCTGCAATTAAGCAATCCACAAATTTATAAGCAAAATCTGCATCTTATATCTGGTATTTTATGTATGGGTTCTTGTTCAAAGGGACATAAGGTCTGATCATTTTAAATATCCCGATGTAATCGTTGTCTTTTCTTATTTACAGGAGGTCCATGAGCTGTTGGGCAACTATGACTTGAAGTACTGCTTTGTTGACAAATACAAGGGCACAGGTTGGTCTGAGTGCTTGTCCATCATGTTAGACATCTTCATTTTTAAGGACTGAAGGATTTTGGCACAGATAATTGATATGCTAACAAAAAAGATGGATGAAGATAATCATGTGTACAGGTTGGGTTTTCTCCATTGAGAGCAGTTAATCTTTTAAAATCTTCTTCTCAATTAGGATAAATTGCTTCACAAATTGTGGAGCAGAGTTCATAAAATGATAAAGGATCTTGATTTGAGGAAAATACTGAATAAATGGAACAAAAAAAAATCCTGGAGTAGACCCCAAAATCACACTTCATTTGCACCTTCAGTTATTTGGATGTGCCCCAGTAGTTCATCACTAATGGTGACAAGATTCTTTGACTTAAAGTAAATTGCAGTGATAATACCCTTTTTTGTCCAGCTGTTGAGTGGTTTGTAAGTGCAACTGCAGTGTGTGTCTAGTACACAAAAGTGTGTCACCTCTAGCAGAGGTTTCAGGGCAAAGTTTGCTAGCAGGAGAGGTTGTCCATTTACCTAACATTTTTCCACTCAGCCTTTTCTTCTGTAGCTGCTGTGTTTGAGGCTAATCTGTTGGTTAAAGTTTTTGGAGGGGGATAGTGTAACCAAATATTTTTTGCTCTCAAATGAAACTTTTTCTCCAATGATGAAAAATTGGTCAAAAGGGCTTGACAGAATTGGAAATGGAAGGAATAAGAATTTATTCGTAACATATTCCAAAAATGCCAGACAAATAGCAAGTGGAAGGGAGGGCCTGTTTCACGATGATGTAAGTACAATCAGACAGATTAGCTTGCCATTAGAAGTGTGAAAGCTGATTTATCAGGAAGAACTGGCATTAAAAAATGAATCAAACAGAAACATCCACTTACGCTAAAATGGTTTTGCACAATGACGGAGCAATATCCCACTGGAAAGTGGCTGATAACAATGGGCCAGACATTTGCTCGAGTCAGATGGTAAATTCAGGTTATGCCTGATATGGAACAAACTGTTGTGGGAGATAACCAGTCACATTTAGATATTCTTTTGTGCAAAATCTTGTTGGCTGGTAAAAAGACCACTCTGACTATTTTGTTGTTTCTTTAGGTGACTTTCAGACATAACCGCAAAAGCCCCCCCCCCTCCTTCTCATCCTCTTTCAAAACACATGGGTAACAGGATGTTTGCTTCACCACACTATGGGGCTTTAGTATACCTCATTGCACTTTAACAAGAGGCTATCACAGACACTGTAGACAGTGGGTGATAGTAACATTCAAACCTCAGGTCACCTAACAGTGACAGTTTGTCAGATAAAGTACCCTTTTGATTCTTGACAGCCATTATAGTTTCAATAAGGGAAATGTTGCAGTGACATAAAAGCTGGTGTGTGGTGACATCATGCCACCAGCATTGTCTTTTATCAGACCACCTAAAGGAGAAATGATGTCACAACCAACGTTGGCTCCCTGAGACCTGCTGTGCAAGAAAATGGATTTTACTGTTAATGCTGCCTGAACAAATGTCACTCCCCCACTTTACACCAAATGTTTATTGTCTCTCTTCCCCTCTCTGTCCCCCATCACCCTCAGCATTTGTGACACTGCTCAATGGGGAACAGGCTCAGTGTGCCATCAAAGAGTTCCACCAGCATGTGCTACGGGACAGGGAGATCTCTGTGCAGCTGCAGCCGACAGACGCTCTGCTGTGCATCGCCAACTTGCCTCGTGCTTTCACCCAGCAGCAGTTTGAGGAGTTGGTGCGACCCTTTGGGAACCTGGAGCGCTGCTTTCTGGTGTACAGTGCCTCCACCGGGCATTCCAAGGGTTATGGCTTTGTGGAGTACATGAAGAAGGACTCAGCGGCCAGGGCCAAGTCAGAGCTTTTAGGAAAGCAGCTGGGTTCCCGCATGCTGTACGTCCACTGGACTGAGGTGGGCTCCCTCACATACCCACTGCTGCACTCCAAATGTCTGTGTGTGGACCGCCTGCCCCCAAACCTGCTGACAGCCCAAGACCTCCGCAACGCCCTGGCTGACACCCATGCGCCAGTCTTCTGCCAGGTCAAATTCACCACACACAAAACGCACTTCCTTTCATGTTAAAATGCTTTTGGTTGGCAACTTAATCCAGATTGCAATTGACTCCAAAAAATAGTGGATTTAGTGTCACTTTTCATTGACCAATGATTTCCGAGAATACAACTTTCCACTTTATATCAAGCTTGCTGTTGTTACACTTTCTCCTGATACTTTTTTGTCAGTTTCTTCTGTGTTGATTCATGCAATGCAAGGCCTTATTAACAAAGAGCCTTTTGAGACTGATGAAGGTGATGTGCTGCTACATGTATCAGAAAGTTGTAGAATGGGCCCTGATGGTGTAGGACATTATTTTAGGGATTGTTTACAAATGGCAGGAACCATTTTGTACAACTGTATTCCATATTTGATCTTTCAGTACCTTTCACCTTTGCCCCAGTTTTCATGTGGCCACTCAAAGTTTCTATAGCATTGAGCATTGCTGGTTTCTATGGTGATGACCACCTGACTCCCCCAGGTGGTGTCATTCAGCAGGCTTTTCTGGAATGAGAGAGGGTTGTCCTTTTCGCACAACACACAGAGTAGCACTTTTCTGCTGGTTCCAGGGTTTTGTTTTTTTTTTCTTTTTTAGGATTGTGGCAAAAGGCAGTGATGTATAAGGGCCATACAATAGTGATAATAAGATAAACAGTTTAGTTTCCCAACGCTAGTTTTAACAAAGTGGAACTGGCCTAGTTATGAAGTTGTGAAATCTGGTGGCAGTGAATCATGAGGCCAACTAATGACTGATAGTGAGTAAAGGGCCATTTAAAAGGAAATTCAAAAGCTATGTAGTCAGCAGAATAGTACTTATCTATGAGTAAATTAACAATGAAGTGTTGGTTTGGTGTTTTTGGATTTGACAGGAAATAGGGATGGGTTAAGGTCTGCTGAACTTTTAAATGAGTTTCAATTATGATTGGAAACGTTAAAATCTAATGATTTGTTCTCTGGCAATCCTTGCCATTTATGGTCATTTTTCTTGCTCCTTTTCTAAGTAATTTTCAAACAGTGGACATTTCATTATAGGACTTGGTGGAAGAGTAAATCATCTGAGTCTTAAATGACAGGCTGATATGAGAAGCTGTCATAGCTAGAAAATGTCCTACCTGTCACTTGTAAAAGGAGTCACTGTTATCAGTAAACAAAGCAAAAAGGAAAAACACTGTCTCTCTGTTGGGAAATTTTCAACATCACTTTTGACCAATCTGAGCAATAATTCTGGTACATTTCAGGGGTTTTACTGGGCATTAGATTTCCTTTTTAGATGGATGTTCCACTCAAATATGTGCTGGGTCTAAGTGAAAAGCCACAGGCCTACCAGTCAGTCCATACCTTGTGTTTATTGTATTTATTTGCATTAGAACTTGGGCTCTGAGTCTCTGTGAGATTAGAAAGAGTTGTTTTTTTCCCTCTACAGTTGGCTCAGGGACAAGATGGAAGTTTTCGGCGTTTTGCAGTTTTGGAGTTTGCCACTGCAGAGATGGCCGAAGAGGCACAGCGACTCACTGATGGCAGGCTGCTGGGTGGGACACACATCAGGGTGTCCTTCTGTGCCCCTGGCCCTCCTGGGAGAAGCATGTTGGCTGCTCTGATTGCTGCCCAAACCATGGTAATCAAATCAAACTGACACTGATCTTTCACATGTCCAAAGTTATTATTCAGTTTGTCATTTCTATGTCATGTCTAATTGCCTGTCTTGTGATTTCTATCTTCAAGGCTGTGAACAGGGGTAAAGGTCTCCTCCCTGATCCCACAGCCATGCAGATACTCACAGGCCTCAATAACCCCGCCACGCTCAAGATGCTGCTCAACCCTCTGTCACAGGGACACAAACAAGGTGAGGAGTTCTCACTGGCTCTTGAACAATGGATACATTTAAGATTTCTTCCGGTGCTGTGGATCCTTACGTTCCCTCTGTGTGCAGGCATCCTTGGGGCAGCCCCTACGATGCCGCTGCTGGCCAACCCCGCCCTTTCCGCCGCCCTGCTCCAGCTGCTCCTTCAGAACCAGGCCAAGGCCCAGCAGGTACTGCTGTCTTTCTGCCTTGTGTCCGCTATGTTCCGCTTAGCTGCTCAGCCTGTTTTGATTCATCCTCTCCCACTGATACGCACCTTTTTTTTTCCCCCACTCTCTGCTCTTTCCCTCTTTACCTTTAGCAAGCCTTTCTGGGAAATCATCTTCTGTGGGCTCAGGTGCTGCACAATAAAGAAAGCCCTCTAGTACCTTGTGTGAGTGATAATGGTGTTTGTGTTTGGCTATCAGTGTGTGTGAGTTGGTTGCAAAGCTTGATGAATCCTGGTCTTTTTATGTGGTTGGTGATAGAAAACTCAGTGCCTGGGTGGGTAAGCTCTCGCAGGGAAAGTGTGAGGTTTGTTTTTTGAGTGTGTGTGTGTGTGTGGGGGGGGTGTAGTTTGAGTGGTGCTGAGTGATGTGGTAGGTGTACTACTCTATTGTGCATCAAAATTGTAAATACCCCTTCTGTAAGAACATAATTTCATGTGTGGTGAGTAAGCCTTGGTGCTGATTTAAGTGTGCTCGTGTAGCTCAGCAGTTTTCCGCTGCTCCAGAGTGGTAGCCACGCTGTGTGACCCTCTTGTGACACTGAACTCTGCTCTCTCCATTGGCCAGCAGGCAGGACTCATTGGGGAGAATCCTCTGGCTGCTCTGCCTGTCCAGCAGGGAGTCCATCTGCTCGGAGACCTACCCCAAGGTTTGGCATCCGCCCACTCCAGCTATAGCTCCTTAAGCATGTTTTTGCTTTTATGATGCTAAACATCTGTAGCCTCTCCTTGCCCGTTAGTCATGCTTCCTGCTCTTTACACTAATTATGATGCTAGATAAGGCTGGAAGTTACGTGGTAGAATACCATGGCCAAAAATATTAATTTGCAGCTGATTTAGGTATGTTTTCATTTGTATTCAAGAAAAAAAATGTTTTTTGCAAATCTGACTTTGATATGAAAAACCTAATTGAGAGATTGCCAAATGGATCATAGATTAAAGATTACATTATTTGTAATTTACAATTTCGTTCCTCTATTTAATTCCTGTAGGTGGTGTAGTCTCAGGTCTTGGTCTTCAGACGGATCCTCTGGCCCCTCTAAAGCCAATGCCACTTGGCAGAGCCCTGACAAGGGAGCAGGAGTCTCCCACAGCAGCATGCACCTTCCCCCAGACTTCCTCTCCCACCCTGCAGGGCATCTCCATGCCCCTGATGGGTGGCATGATGGGAGCAGATGGTCTCACAGCACAAGGGGTGAGGTCCCAAGTAATTTCTGTACTATGCTTTTCTGCCTCTTGTATTCTTGTCCAGTTTTTTTTTTTTTACCCATGTGTAAATGAGAAATGGGTGGGGAAAAAAAAATCATCACCTCTTTCCTTCCTGTTAGGTCTCCATACTAGGAGATCCTCCCAAAGATGTGAATATTCCCCAGAACGCCTTCCTCGGTGTCAATAATGTGTTTCCCTCAGGTGAGGTTCTTGTTTGCAGTGTGTGGTTCTGAATTTCCTTCTTACTAGTCTGTTCTTGTTTGCTGCAGCACCTGAAGTAAATACAGATGTCTGTCTCCCCTCTCCTACTCCAGGAGGAAGCTGCAGACCTCACCCTTATAGGAAGAGGCCTACACTAAGTAATGTGTCCAACCAGCACACACACCAGAGCATACAGCCAAATTATAACCTGCGCTACCAGGATTCCTACAGCCCTGAATATCCTCCTCTGCACCAGGTAACCACCAGGTTGCTCCTTTCTTTCGTCGTGTGTCTTTTCTAAATAGGTGCTGCTTTTTGGAGATGATTTGTGGTTTTGAATAGACAATGATGTGCACGCTGCACAGCCTGGCTGCTCATTGCTGCCCATTCAGTAGGCTATATGATGTTTGGTCTTGAGGCCCATCTGGTGTTTCTCCTCAGGATCCCCTGGCCCACTTGTATGAACAGCAGGAGAACCTTGACACTGGGGCCTTGGCAGGATTTGGTCAGCAGGTAGTGTTTTTTTTTTTTTTTTAAAAAAAAAAAAAAAAAAAAATTTTTTGTTGTTTTTTTCCAACCAATTCTAAATGATGTGCGCAGATCTTTAATGTTATTAAATGAATTAGATATCGGACTGATAATAAAACAGCTATTCTGATGTTATTCGACTGTCTCTGCAGCCCTCTCGTCACCCTGACTACAGCGAGCGATTTTCCCACTACAGTTACCCTCCCAGCCCACCCCTCTCCTCATACTTCAGCTCAGGGCCGGAAGCTTCCAGTAATGGCAGCCTCCCTACCACCCAGCTCAATAGGGTAATTCGAAAGCTTTGGACTGATTTGGACTTTGTTTATTTATTTTATTCTTTTTTTGAAATTAACATCCATTTTGGTCTCAAACTATTGATTACTTGCCAATGCAAGAACATCAAGGTAGCACTGTAAGAGATAAAACAGGGGAGGGTTACGTTCCAGGAATAAGCCCATGTTCAATAATTAATGTTATGCTGTAAGTGCATGAGCCTAAGAAGTGTAGGTCACTGAAAGTTGTTTTTGTCCTCAGGCTGTGGGAATGCCTCCTGTGAGCCACACCAGTAACTACCCCCCAGGCCTGGGGAATTCTGTGAAGGTAATTTAGACTTTCTTGCCTTTGCCTTTTTGAGTCTTAACTTTTTGTACAGTTTTTGCTTCTACAATGAAATACTCTTCATTGATTTTTTATTTTTATTTTTTTTGCCAATTATAGACTCCCATTGGTAGTCACAAGCGTGTGTTCTCCCGGCTGATCCCATCTCCAGAGCCAAGCCCTGAGGGCGGCTATGTGGGCCAGCACTCCCAAGGCCTTGGTGGCCATTATGCAGACTCCTACCTTAAGCGAAAGCGTATATTTTGAATAAAGCTGACTGCTTCTTGCTGTATGAGTAGCCATTCAACAGCCAGGACATGATGGCATCTCCTCCAATGAACTTGAGCTTGGCAGTCCTTGGATTTGTCTCCTGTTTACTCCTGTGAGTGACCCCTGGAGGGCGCTGAGGAGTGCAGCTTGTTGCTATCTGGACACTTGTGTCACTCTATGGGAATTCTTGGTGGCTGTTTTTTCTTTTTTGTGTATATATGATTTTAGTGTGTTGGTAAATTAAGTTTTTACTTTTTTCATTTTTTATTTGACTTTTAATTTTCTGTTGAACGATTTGTACAGTGAGAAAAAATGGTTAATTAGCTAATGAAGTCTTTTCTCTTCAGCATCATTTTTTATTCTTGTGTTGAGTGTGGTGTATCAGCAGAGCTACAGATAGTTTGGCCAGTTTTCAGTGGCAGCCATAGGCTGCTTTTTATAATGTTTGACATCTCACTAAAGTGAAGCTGTCCACATATTCAGGCAAAGGGATTTGCATAGTATTAAAAACAAGCTTTACTACAGAGGCTCAACATTTAAGTAGCCTTACTAATTCCATGTAAAAAGTTCAGTTGTTTGTTTAATGAGATGGTGTTTTTGTGTTGTGGTGTTTTCTTGTTTTCCCCTTCCTTGCACAAGGTTGTATATTTTGCTTTATTACTCTTTCTGGATTCAGGCCTTTCCTCATCGGTTAACATTCAGCTTTCCATCCACCAATGACGGCTGCATGTACCTGCCTGTGTATTATAGGTTAAGCGTTCTACCATTCTGGCATATTTTCTCAAGCCTCAACTTTTCCACGTTGTTTGTCTTTTGATCCACACCCTCCAACTTGTTTTCGGAGTCTATTCTCTACACTGGTTGTTGAGTGATGCACTTGGAGGGCACAGGTCACACTCCTAATCTGTTCTCACCAATACAGGATGCCATTTTCAAGTCTCCTGGAGTTGAATATTTTCTGTGTTTTTAATGTGCGTTCTGTTTGCTAAGTTAAATTTTGAATGTCTTAAAGTCCACACACCTCAGTGGTGGAGTTGGATGGGTGGGGCAGTGAACATCGGCTGTGCGCCATCCCTCGAGCTGCCAGCACATAGTGAATACAGGAATCTCAGGGAGAGGCCTGACTCATTGACTTCGCTTCTCTAGATGAATAGACGGCAGGTGGAATGATGGACACAGCCCATGTTCAAAGTTTTCTTTATAATGGTGGGATTTAAGTCTGTCAGGGGATATACTAATGGAAGCTACTGGCAGGTGATTGGTCAGTGACATGATTGTCCTTGTTTTTTCTTTTTTTTTTTCTTCTTTTTTTTGTGAATAATTATCTGGTTGACAGTTTGATTGTGAAAACCCATTACCTCTGACTTCTGCTAGGAAATGCAGCTACACTTGAGCCTTAACATTGTTTTCTGTGATCTCATCCTGCCCTGTGTTGGCTTCCATCTACATTTACCGTTTCTGTGTTATTTGCTGTGTAAATAGTTAAAGCTTGATCATTTTCCTGAGTCCAAAACTTGTTTTCTTTAATAATACCTGCTCCTGGTCTGGCGTTCTTGAATGAATTTGCTGCTCCTTGTGTTTTTGTTTGCCTGTATGTTTGAAAGCTGATGTGACCAAGAGTGGCGCCGCAGCAGACTGCTCATGTTGTGTATGGACCAAGAGATGCAGCTGTACTGTATGATCATCATTCATTTTGATTGATTTGATGCTAACCGCTATCCTCTCCTCTGTACCGCCATGGTTGTCTCTGTATGTGTGTGATGTGAGCAAGTAAATGTTATTTAAACTCATTGTCGTTGTGAACTCATCATTTAAAAAAAAAAACAAAAAAAAAAAAAAAAAAAAACATAGAAAATATACACAGTATCTCTGTGATATCTACATTTGACATTTTGGGGGTTATGTATTTTACCTTAAATAGTTAACCTGTTTTCTTTTTGGTTTGACACTTTGAGAGCACATCATTTGCTCTTTAAGTACAATTGCCTGAGGAGTTTTAATTTTTGTGATTGAAAAATTTTAGAGCTGATTTGTTAAAGTGACCCATAACAGATTTGCTTAATTAGACTTTAATTGTGTCTTAAAACCCAGAGAGTTTAATTGCAGAATGCAATTCTGCAGAATGCAATTAAACTCTGTCAGTGTCCACATGTTAGTGCATGTGAGTCCCTCCTGTTAACCATAGGTCCTCCCCACTTTTATAAACGCACACTGCCCCCACTATAGATGGCACAGTGTCGTATGCAGCCTTCAGGTGAGAGTGTTTTCTTCACGTTTTCATCTAAAAATGCCTCAGACAAGGAAAGAGATGAGACCATAGCACAGGCGGACTGGCCATGGGAACTACCAGATCAAATCCCAGTGTTCTGGTGGACCATCAAAACATCCATACAGTTTTTACAGGCTCCACCAGTGTCATTCGTTTTACCAGCCCAGGCTAAATTTCTTTCCCCGTCCGACCGGGGAGCCAATACTGGTCTTTACCAAGATAAAGAATCCTATGAGCTGCCAAAGGGCTTGAGCTTAACTCAGAACATGCCTTTCTTCCCTTCCATGTGTAAGTAACTTGATTGATGGCACCATAATGCCACAAATCTCTTTTCACTTGACAGACTCAAGAACACATGATAACATTAGCTAACTTGCTGTTACCCATATTATGAATGTGTTTGGCAAATGTTGCTATCGCTAGCTAGCTTACTGCTATTATTGCTGTGCGTATCACTAGCGTTAATGGTTGTTGCTGTTTTTTTTTTTTTTTTTGTTGGCTCTCGTGTACTTGTATTTTTATTCAGTTGTGCTTCTTGTGGTTGTCTTTAGTGGCCACTTTCACTGGACCTTATTACACCTTGTTGACTGGGAAAGTGAAGGGGGGGGGGGGGGGGGGGGACGAAGCATTTGTTTTGGTTTAGATGCTGGTGGTCTAGAGCGACATCCAGTGGCAGTGACAGACTTTTTAAATTGTTGATCATTTCACAGAGAACCTATTCATCAACACTAATCTAATAATATACAATATTTCGTATAAAACAAAATAAGCCGTGTGGTTGAGAGCACGATCAGCTAAGATTTGATCAGCTTTATTAAGTCCTCTATCGGTAGAATAAAATCTTTGCTTCAGGCATGAAAGTAACAAACGCAAGTGAGCTATAGAAAAAGGTACATGGATCCCTATTAGATACTTAAAATGATGTGGAAAATTTTAAAGGCTAGCAAATGTGATTTTGATTTAATGGAGGAAAGGTATACAAGTCCTTTATACTGTTTAAAGCTACACAAAGAAGTGTATAGTAATTATATTTTAGCCCAATTGTATGGAGTAATGGACCAGAACCGAGGTGCCTTTTTTCAGTCAAACACATGCACAGCCAGCTTATGTTTTGCTTCATTGGATAGGCAACCAACCATAAAAAATAATGCTTCTGCACACTTGCAGACAGAGCTTTTCAGGAACAGGTGCAGTAGTCAGGAAGCATCAAGTCAACAAAAAGGAAGATGCATCAAAGCATCCAACAAAAGTACTGGTTGTAAACTCAACTACAAGATTTTGTCTTCTTCTGTTCCCCAACATGGAAAAAAACTGGAGGCCGGTAACTTCAGACAACAGCTGCATTAGTGTTTCATGTAGTGCCTTTGAGCACAGCACATCTCCTCTGTACTTAAGTTACAACATGTTATCGGACAGATGCTGTGGCTCTATCAGTGCAGCATAGCTGTGAGTGTGACCTGCATGAATATAAAGCAGGTTACTGCTGAGAGGATAATTTTTCTTCCATGGATGACTAATTATTTAACAACAAGCACAGTCAGTCAGTTATCAGCTATCAAGGCGAATAACAGGTTGCTCAAAAAAAAAAAAAACAACTTGAAGAGATATGTCAAACTGTGAAGTGAGAGAAATTACAATTCACCCTGATAAGGCTTTATATACAGCCTGATGACATTCAGATTTAATTAAAACACAAACCAAAGAATAACCTGAAATGTCAACTGTGTTCTTATAGGCGTAGGACTTTCAGCCTCTGTTCAGCAGACCCTGAGGGTAATGGCAGGTCAATTGTGCTCTTATCAGGCAGAAATTGAGCTTAAAGTCGTCTGCCCAGATGATAGGCTGTGTGGCAACACTGAGCCCTTTGCATTACTGTCCCTCACCCTTCAGACTGAGGTGCTAAGGGCCAAGAGGCACTGAAGAGAGAGCTCCTCTTCCCCTCAGCAGCCATCAGGATGAAAGGTTTTGATTAGATGTTATTCTTGTGGTCCCACAGAGCCTCAAGGAGCAGAGCCACTGATGGAGCTTTCCCCCTGATGGGCAAAACACAAGTGCAGAACATTGGTCATAAAACTCCCCTTTTAACACAGATACTGTTTGTGACATTTCTCCAAGAGAAAAATTCAGCTGTATGTTTTGGTTTGTCACCGCGTGTCACCTAAGAAATACATCTGAAGGAGAAATAATCTCTTTTATCATCTGTAAACGACAATGGAAATGAGAACATTATGAAGAAACAATGGCATTGCTTTTTAGAGCTGCTGACATGATATTAGTGTTTTTCGCAGCCAGGAGGTTTATTTCTGTAATATTTATCTGTAATGCTTCAGGCACCCCTGAATGATGTTCTCATACCTGCAGCCAGTCTACCCAGAGTTCTCAGAGGGATCCGCCGAGGCTCGGTGGACGCTGTGTCAGACACATTTAGATTTCTGCCTTTCATATTTCCACCCACACAGTCACCCTGCACAGTTGCTGGTGAACGCTGCAGAAACCTGCGATTTTCCCAAATACAGACAGGAAGGAAGAAGAGCTCTGAAGGCAGATCACTGCGGCATAATTTATCACAAATTACAAACGCACAAATGAAGGAAAAGTTATTATTTCTTATACATTTGTGCGTGTGCTGTCGAGCTGAAAATGTAACCGCTTCATCTCACTTTACTGCCCATGTGTGTTGAATGGAAACTGATGTATTTAAATATACATATTCACTGTAATCTACATGTAAAACACACTCTAAATTCACATATGCAATGAATTATTACGGCTTTATTTCAGTATAGGAGCAACAAAATGTAACCAAATAGGGTATGTCACAAGAGCTGTTTATAGCAGGATTAGTCATAGAAAACAGCCCACTCCCCCCTGTGACAAGCAGTCTATAAAACAGCAGAACATCTCTGTAGCCCTGGAGAAAGCTGCTAGTCTGCCTTTCGCTTAATTCAAAAGAGGGGAAAAGCCACTCAGTTTGAACGGTGCACCTGCTTAGCCAAACAAGATTATATTATAGTAGGGACTGAAATTCCAAGCCAGAAAATGTACCCTTATCCCCCTGAAATAAGCTTGGGTATTGTTACACTCTTCATTTTCATCGTTTCCAGTCGATCCTCAGTGTAATTGTATATCACCGAGGCACTACAAAATAAGATAACCATTTCTGGTTATGAGAAATAAACACAATGTTTCCCAGTACAGTGCTGCTGTTGTGATATACTGAAGCAACACATTTGATTTTCTGAAATGAAGAGATATTCCAAAACAAAATGCTTTGTTTTAGTTTTTTTGTCAGCATCACACACACACACGGTCTCATTTCTTTCCTCTGCTGATACTGTAGATTAAATCCTCAATATCCAGACGAAACCCAGACATCGACTGTAGCAGTGAGATGAACCTGGTTCTCTATCAGGCTGAGAAATTTTAAATTTGAGGCAAAGCATCAACTGTAGTCTTGAAATCTTTCCCACACATACCAAAAAAGTAATTTCTTCAAGAAGTATCTCTTGTCCTCCGCTCCCCTGTTGAATCATATCCCCTGTCCCACATCGTCCTCAGCATTAATAACCTGCACTTTTATCAAGCGGAGCTCTCATTTCTCTTATTTCCTTTGCTGCAACTTGTCTCCTACATGATCACAACTGAATAATGAGATATTGCAAAGACACTTTATCTCTGAACAGTTCTTTCTCTGGCTGAGGGCAACAACTAAACAAACTCAGAATTTTTATGCTCCCCAATATGAGGAACAGCATGTCTTTTAAAGGCACAATCTGTGATCTAAGTGTAAACCAAAGTGTAGCCCTGCGTAGTGCCTACCACCAAATTCAAAACACAGGACTACAACCTCCTACCACTCCCAAATTCATTACCCAAATGACCAGTGTTTTGATACGGTTGACACCCGACAATGACAAAATGCAAGTTATTGATGTTTCCCGTTGAAGGTTTATTGTGGCCAGTTTTAAACAAACAATGCTATAAATTAGATAATTGAATATATGCATAATTAATGTGGTTATAAAATGCACCGACTAGTCCTTTAAGGCTTAATTTGCACTGTTTTTCCTGGTAGTCTATGAAGTTCCACGGTTCTCTATGTTTCACCTTGACTGCATTTCATGAAAGTGCATATCAAGAGTACACGTGGAGCAAAAGCGCAACCTTGAGGTCATTATGACACTTGATTCCCTTCTCCAGTTGCCATTATAGCTCCACAATGTCATTAGCAGAAGTTTTAGAAGCTCAGAAATCTAGTTATCACGTCATTTGAGGTCTCACTAGTCCTTCAGCTTGTCCCTAAAGTGAAACACTGCCTCGCCTCCCTGATGCAACATTGCATCCTTTCCCATCTGACTCCTCCTCTGCCCTCAGCTGGATGGGCCTTTCAGCGAGATGGGTTTGGTTTGGAGAGAGAAACAAGAAAATACTTGAGTGAAAATGAGGTGAAAAGTGGCGGCTCGCTCTGCTGCTTGTGAGCACATCTCCCACA